GAGAAGGCTGAGGGGGGATCTTGTGGCCTGTTATAAACTAGTCGGGGGGGTCAACAGGCATTGGGGGAGTCACTGTTCCCCCGAGCACTGCCAGGAGTGACCAGGAATAACAGTCACAAGCTGGCAGAGGGTAGGTTTAGGTTAGCTATCAGGAGGCGCTACTTCACGGTCAGGGCGGCTAGGGTCTGGAACCAACTTCCAAGAGAAGTGGTGCAGGCTCCTACCCTGGGGGGTTTTAAGAGGAGGTTAGATGAACACCTTGCTGGGGTTGTTTGACCCCAGTACTCTTTCCTGCCATGGCAGGGGGTCGGACTAAATGATCTGCTCAGGTCTCTTCCAACCCTAGAAACTATGAAACTATGACTCAACAAATTAAAGGAATACTATACAATGAATGTCAATCAAAATGTGTTGAAGTAAAAAAAATCTTGCTAAAAAAGCTTAGTACTTTTTTCATGAAATTACCAATTTGTTTGATAAAGTGTTGGTGTACCATACTGGATAAGGTATTTTACTTGGAACTGCACAACATTCTGATTAAGAAGCTGAAATAATCTATTACTTGGGAAGTCAGGCACAAGCAAGCAACGTGTACGATCTAATATAAAGTCATGCTTCCAGGAAGAAAGAATTCTGACCATACTTACAGGATAGAAAATGTTATCTGGGGAAGCAGCAATTATAAAAAGGACATAGGGGCCATAGTGCATAATCATATCAAAATAAGTTTCCAATGTGACTGTGGCCAAGAGGGCAACCTTTGTTTCTGGATGCATAAACAGGATTATCACGGAGAAATGGGCAAGTTATATTAACAGTGTATTTGCCAAAAGTGTGGCCATTACTAGGATGCTGTGTTCAGCCCTGCTGTCTACAGCTGAAGAAGAATTTTGGACAAGATGTAGGAAATAGTCACAAGAATGATTAAAGGATTTTAAAATATGTCATACTATGATTACAGATAATTTGATCACAGTCTATAAGTACCTATCCAGACGACAGAAATTTGACAGAAGGCTTTTCAATCTAGGAAACAAAGCAGCTAGAAGGATCAGCGAGATACAAACCAGGCTACAGCCACTGGAACAATTTATCATGGGTTGTAATACATTTGCCATCACAAAGAAATTTTAAATTAAGGTTTAATGTTTTTGTCAAAGATGCACTCTAGGCCAATAAAGAATTAATTTGGAGTTCTCTTGACTGTGCTATATGGGAGGTCAGACTACATGGTCATAATGGTCCCTTTCGACTTCAAAAACAATATAGATATGACATGTATTCTGCCCTATGGAGTAAATAAACCAGAATAACTACCAGGAAGGCTACTATGGTTAATTGAGAGAGTCTTAAATATTTTCCTCACTTCATTTTTTTAAGTTAACTGGATCAGTCTGAAGACCATTTGGTTTACTATGAGTGAAATGATGCAAAATACAGAATCAGTAAGATATTTTAGACATCCCCTGAAGTCGGACTAAGCTACCTTTCTGTAAGATGTGACGTTTGCAGGATGCACTATTATTAATGTGATTTAAAGATTGCATTGGTAGTCTTTTGGAATGACTTGCATAGATCATCAGGACTTTATTACTTGTGCAACTGCTCAAAACCCGTTTCTTGCCTGCGGACACTAACAACAAGCCTAATTTTCTTCAAAGTCAAATGTATACAGCCTCAATTCCTGTCTCATATGCTTTGAGTATACAGAAGACTTAAAGCCTATTTGTTAATAACATTATAAATCATGCAGAGATTGTGACTTTACTAAACTTTTTGAATAACATTTTTTTTTCATCTCTGTGGATTGTTTGATACAGAGAGGCAAGGATTTTTGACGATATCTTTTATTGGACCAATTGTATAGTTACAAGAGATGTTAGACAAAACTGCACAGCTGTCCCAATAAAATATATCACCACAAAAACCTTGCCTCTCATTTTCTGGATGATCACAGCTATATTACTCCATACCTGTTTGATGCAACACGTGCAATTGTATTATAGTGCATTCCCATTCTGTTTTATGTTTCAAAAGAAAGATCCATTATCACAGAATGTTGTCAGAGAGCTCAACAGAAAACTTGCAGTATTATGAAGCCCCTTTTTCAGGCAGTGCAAGTACATTACTAAAGACAGGTAATAAGCACTATTTCTAAATATTTGGGCAGTATTTTTTTTTGCTGGATGGGAAAGGAACTTGTGTAAGCAATAGATCCAGTACTTATACAGAAGTGCCCATATAAAAATGCCCAATAATTTATTCTTGAAAGTTAAGCAGTTACAAACTTACCACCACATTTCCTTATTTTTATAATTACTTTCATATGCGTGATGCTTGGACAATGTTCTCCAGATATTTCCACTTTCATTACTTGATAAAATTAAATGTTCAAACTAATTAAAGAAAAGTTGCTGAAGTCTGTCTTTTGCCAACCAGTAACAGGCATAAAAAGTTATATCCTGACAAAGGCCTTCATTTTCTGACATCTTGCCACCTAAGTGAAGTCCACAGCTTCAAAATTTAGCCATTTATCTTGTCAAAAACATGTTCCACATGCAACAATACTGAACTAACTCAGTTGCTCAAATCAATCAGTCCTTTATTCTGATTCTGGCAGAAGTCAATACCAAATGCTTCAATATACTCCTAACCCACAGCACTACTCTGTTCTGCTAATTTTGTAATGATTGTTGGGGGCTCCTTTCCAACTGCAAGGTCACCACATTGTGTTCTAAAGCAGGGGTCAGCAAGCTAGGGCCTGCGCACCACATCTGGCCCACAAACCCTTTGATTCTGACTCTCAGACGTGAGGCTTTAGCAGAGTTTGGCAGTGGGGGACTTTGGCACCAGTTTTTCTTCCAATGCCGCTGTGGAGAGAAGTCACAGCTCTGGGAGTTCTCATCACACCACCACGGAGAGAAGCAGTGGTGGTGGCGGCCAGGTGCTAGAGCTGACCCTCCTCCGACTCAAGCTGGGTCATTCCAAGCTGCAATCTGAAAAGGTTGCCAACTGCCATTAAGTGCTGATTTGCTCTGACCAATACATATGCACGTGAATACTTCTGAGGAAAATACCCTGAAAAAGTCCATCCAGAGCAGCCAGAAAAACATCCTACTATTAAACATACAGCACTTAACCGATTTACTGAGAGCATTGTTAATATTTGCATCTGTAAAAGGAAAAGACAATAAACAAACAGAGATCTTCTCTTACCTCGTCAGAAGAGCCATTTTCTACCCGGAATCGTCCAGCTCTTTGAATGGCGCCATCAGCATCACTAGATATAAGCTGTAAAAAAGATCTTAAATTACTTGTTCTAGTTTCAAAAGCCCCTGCCTAATCAGAAACTAAAACATGACCAGCTAAGTTTGGCTTTCCCCATTACAGCCAATGGTATGTACCTTCAGTGGAAATCAGGTCAGTTTAGAGCAGCTTCTAACAGAGATTGGGGAAAACCAAACTCCCTCTGAAACAAGTTCACTGCAGCTCTAAGATCTCTTACAGGAAAAAGAAGTCTTTTTCTTGCCTTATGGAGCTGCTGCCCACTAGTAAGAAGCTTTATCTCAAGTACTGACAGGGCTGACATGCGAGCTGCTTATAAAGAGGCCTGAACCATCAGAAATGTTGTTCTGCTAAATGGGTATCAAACAAAAGATACAGTTTTATCCAGCACTAGAAGGGTAAATTGCCTGGATTATGGCAACACACAAACTACAGCAGGAAGAAAAGGACAAGGCATTTACAGTAGGCCCAACTTTAATTCAAAATAAAGTAACCACAATATGTGATAACATTTAAAGCCAAATAAGCAATGGGCTTCCCTCTCCGTGAGCAGGGCCCCAAGTAGGTATGCTTTGAGAGGAAAGCCAGGGAAGGAGAGTTAAGAGCTCTTCTTGTGAACAAGGTTCCCTGCTGCCAGGTCTACGGAAAGCGTGTTGGACTTTTAAACCAGGACTATCCATCTTCTAAACGACCAGAGGCCACATGCCCCACAGGCTGCAACAATGGTGCCCCTGCTGCACTGTGTGCAGGCACACCCCTGACCCTTAACCCCCTCACTGCCAGCTCCCCCACAGCCTGGACAGTGCTGCTCAGGGGCACAAAGCGAAAGCCAGAGGAGGGAGGCTGCTGCTGTAGCCAAAGCAATGGGAGCAGCAACGGCTAGGTGGAAGCTGGGGCTGCATGTTAAACCCCCAAGGGCTGTCAGTCAGACAGTCCTGTTCTTAGCAGTGCAGTATGCCCTCATTCCTTTGCATAGCCATGATACTACAGACTGGTGGGGCCACCAACCAGCACAGCTATTTTCCCTCATCAGGCCCTACTGGACTCAGCAGCAGGCTTTTAAAATGTAAGGATCACCTCTACCTGGACCAGTTTATTTTCTCTGGCAGTGCTAAATATCCCTTAAAATCTCAACAGAAAATCCATTTTGTCAGACCGTGAATATAGCCTATAAATTTCCAAGCACAACCCGTAAACACAGACAGCCCCAGTTTCAGCAGCTTCTGCCTCTCCCAAGGCCATTCCTCAGTCCATGTTGTCAAAAAGCCACATCAGCACTTTCTGATGGAGTCCTTCCTTGTTTCTACCAGCAGCAACTCCCCAGACTTCCCACCTGGGAAACATTTGTTCTGTCAGGCACTAGTTATGGTCAAGCCCGTCAATACTCTCCTTCATCCAATAGTTTCTGTTATCTAGCGGAATGAGTTTTAGTTCAAAGTGCCCCTTTAAGTTAGCAGGTAAGCCCCTTCATGACTACTGTCTCTCAAATCCTCTCCAGCTCCCTAGTCTAGGGGCATTTTTACAATTGCTCCGGGAAGAGCTGGGGGGGGTGGGGGTGGAAAAGAGCACTTTAATTAGTGAGTCATGCTAATTAAATGTGCCCGAGCGTCACGTGTATCAGCATCCCCCACGCTGAAAAATGGTGGTGGGGCACTTTGAACTAAAACCCATTGAACAAGCTTTAGTTCAATGCTCCCCACTGCCATTTTTCAGCACAAGGATGCTGATACACATGATGCCAGAATCTGCTGAAGCGTGTTTATTTCTGTGAATGAATTGAGTCTGCTCCGACGCACTGGATTTCCAGCACATCAGAGCCAGCTCCCTGCACGTGTATAGGAAACCTAGGACACTCCTACACATCTGTCCAGGAACCTTTCAACAGATCCCAACTGGTCATCTCCTGGAACTCCTAAGATTTCTGCATCTTCTCTTTATTTAGTAGTCTTAAGTGCATGCCCTCTAACTCCTCTAACCACGTGCAACAAGTATGTGGACCACAAGGAACTAAACAAAATGCAACAGCTGATAACTGACACTCAGGAGAAAACCAAACTCCTTAACGAATACTTTGTGTTGGTATTTCACCAGTCCAAGGGTGCTAGCCTGCTTGAAAGGATACAAGATGATTGAGGTGTGGGTGATCACCCTCCCATAGCTGGCAAAGCTCTTGTGGGAAAACATCTAGAGGCTGGATATCTACAAGTCAGCAGGACTGGATGAACTACACCCGAGAGTGCTGAAAGAATTGGCCAACATCATTGTACGACCTATGGCAAAGCTATTTGAGGATTCGTGGCACTCGGGAGAGATCCCAGAAGACTGGAAGAAGGCCAGTGCAGTGTCTATCGTCAAGACAGGGAGAAAAGACCACCCAGGAAATTACAGACCAATCAGTTTGACCTCTATCCCTGGAAAAATCCTGGAAAAAGTTATCAAAGAATCCATTATTGATAAGCTAACTGAAGGCAGTATTCTAAATGACAGCCAACATGGCTTTGTTCTGGGCAGGTCATGCCTGACCAACTTAATTTCCTTCTATGATCAGGGACTGGGACTTCCCCACCTTGATGCAAGACGGACTCAAAGGGAATGCCTCCAGACCTCAGGTTGGGGAGGACTGGGTTAGAGAGCTTCTGGAGGGGCTGGACATGTTCAAATCAGCAGGTCCAGATGCTCTCCACCCCAGGGTGTTGAGGAAGCTAGCAGGGGTTATTGCAGGGCCCCTGGCACGGCTTTATGAGCGCTCGTGGTGCTCGGGCCAGGTGCCAGATGATTGGAAGATAGCCAACGTGGTCCCCATCTTTAAAAAAGGGAGGAGGGAGGATCCGGGTAACTATAGGCCCATCAGTCTTACCTCAATCCTAGAGAAACTCTTTGAGAAGATCATCAAGGAGCACATCTGTGATGGGCCGGCTTCAGGGATGATGCTCAAGGGCAACCAGC